TTTATGGCTCTTTTAAAATAGTTATCTGCACGGAATATGATATTTTTAACAAACGTGGTTAACACGAAGGTGCAGTTAACAATCAGGATCGCGTATTTTAGAGGCTGCTCCATTTACTGTTCGGAGTACTCCGGATTTTCGGAACATTAATTAAATCGAACCAACAATGATCACATGACTGTTCTGACGGTCACATGTCTGTTCTGGCTGCCTTTACTTTAGAGTAAGGGCAGTCAGAACAGTCATGTGACCGTTTTCGGTTCGATTCAATTAGTGTTCCGAAAATCCGGAGTACTCCGAACAGTAAATGGTGCAGCCTCTTAGGGTTACAACAGCTTCACGTGATACGCGACCATTTCACGCAAAAAAGCTGATAGCAATAGTTGTTTCAGGGTTTCCACTTTTTAAGGACGTTTTGGCAATTGGAAGGGAAAAAGGAAATCCAAAATAGAAGGAAATTTTGAATTATGAAGGAAAATAGAAGAAAATTTCATATTTACTAATGTATGACCACTGAGTTATAAGTAATATAGTCTATTTACAGTTCCATATGTATATATGTGTCAGTTTATTCAGTTACTGTATATAGTTCAGTGATGTTGAGCCACGTGTTCATTGCTATGAGTGATCTAATTAGCGCCCAATTGGTTGTTTTTTTCTTCTTTCATTTCAACAATTTTGCTTGTGTGCACGCCGGGTAAGCTTATGCAATTGACAACTGTGCTTTAGCATGGCATAATAGTTAAATACCAGGGTCCGGTTGTATAAAAAAGTGATTATATAGAGAATAATACATGGGTGCGCGGAAATACCAGATTTATTTCGAGTGTTGAACATGATATCTCTCGAGTGAGCGCAGCGAACGAGTGAGATATCATGTTCAACACGAGAAATAAATCTGGTATTTCCAAGCACCCATGTATTTTTCTGTTTATTATATAAACAAAATTCAGTGAAAAACAATAAAACGTCCGTGGCAATGCGTTTTACAACAAATGATATTTTCACGCGTAAAAATATCGTATTTTTTACGTGTGTTTAAATACGATTTTTCTCAGTGGCCAAAAACTCTATATAACACTCATGTTTATATAATAAATAGATTTCACTGGTATAGATGTAGTTTAGTTGGTTAGAGCGCTGCATCGCAATCGCGTGTTCGATTCCTGCCAGAGAGGTGAATGGACGAAGGGACGATGACTGTGTTATTATTCATAAATTGACTGTTATTATTCATTTTTGCCAAACAACCAATAGCAATTTCCAATTTACCCTATTGTTCGAGTCACGGATAGATAACTTTCCTAAAACTTTGCTATTGCCTGTATTGGTTAGTTGGGCAAAAATATACAATACGCACGAAGGACCAGATTTATGAATAAGCGTTAACTAACATAGATAACGAGTTATATTGTTATTCTAATGAGTTTCACAGCCATCTTTCCTTCGATAGGCTATGATTAGAGCGATCTCAAACCGATCGGTGACTGGGTCCTTGGACTTCTTGTGGAATGTCAAAAAAATGGGAAATTTTGTATTCAAGTACAACAAAAATGACTTGCATCTTTGGAAAACGTACAAAAATCGCATATAAGACTTTTAAACAGTTTTTTGATTCTTCAAATAGTCTTCGAGTTATTGCTGTTTTAAAATGTGAAAATTGGACCAAAATGTCGCAATAAGGACTGGGTACTAGGTCAAAATCGCGTTTTTGACAGCGTATAACTCGAAAGCAATTTGAGAAGAAAAAAAACTGTTTAAATGTCTTATATGTAGGTTTTTGTATAAGCTCATTTTTGTTGTAATTGAATACAAAATTTCACATTATGTATAGGTCTTCACTCTTCAAATAGTATGTAATATTAAGTTATTAACCCCTTCAAATAGTATGTTTGGTATTATTTATTTCAATCTAGTTGTAGTATGTTAAATTTATAAAAAAGAAATCTATTTTACAGTAGATATTAATGCCTTTCTGTTTACTATTCTCGATATATATTTTGTTTGCAATTGCAGGGCTTAAAAAATAGGCGTACGGACGTACGATTGTACGTTGAAATTAGCTTCATACGCCAAGAATTTCAGACAAGTACGATCGCGTACCCTTCCTACATCAGAACCGTTACCCCTTTCTGCTTTCCTTAAAACCCTTCAGACAATGAACAAACATTCGCCTCTAACCCTGATCCTGAAATATCCATATATTTATAACAATCAAACATGAAAAAACAATTGTTTCAGAAACATCGAGTTCACTGCTCGAATCCCGGACCGCCGTCTTTGTTTACGTCGTTAAAATCCAGCATTTCTATACGCGAATTTTATACGAAAACTAGTATACAAAATCGTACGTCAACATCTATTAAACGTACGTCAACCTAGTACAGAGCGTACACGACCTCGTACGGCATTGCTGATTTATTTTTTAAGCCCTGAATTGTATTTAAAAACCTGAATAAAAATGAAAGCGGGCATTAGTTTGGACTGCATGCAGAATATAATTGACACACCGAATAACACATTTTAGTATAATTACATAGGTGATTATTGAAAATTCTCCAGGCTGATTGGTTGCCGTTGACGTGATTATAACGCGATAATCACCTAAGTGATTTTCAAAATGGCGGCCGAAACCGTTTTGTCAATTAAAATTATGACGAAGAAATGTGTACTTTTAATTCTTTTCCAAATAATCACCCATGAAATTATACTAAAACAATTATTCACCTCAGGCTCGGTGATTATCGTGAATAAAAACCTCGACTTCGTCTCGGTTTTTATTCACCGATAATCACCTAGCCTTCGGCGAATAATTGTTAAGTATTGTATATGGTTGAGAATTAATGGGACCATGCATGCAGAACGGTATTATTATATGCAAAGTCAAAGATGGCTATCACAAATTGAAAAAATTGATTAATTGTATTCATTGGAAAGTACATTTCGTTCTAAAACGTAGTCGTTCATATTCGTATATTTTTCTTCAGTAAAGACGTGATGCCACCATTTAAACGTTCTAGACCACACAGTTCAAGGAATTGTTGCTCGCGGTTTGTTGTCTCTCTCGGAAGAACGGTATGTAGAAAGAAGTTCACATGAACTCATCCTAAAGGCTGGTTTCTATATGGTCGCGTGGTGGTCGTAAAAATAGAATCACGCTCTTTCTCAACGGCCAATTTATAATAGTTTATACCTGTAAACCACATATAAATCATATTAGTATTCATATAAATCATATTAGTATTCTCGTATTTTCAGTTCCAAAATGTTGTAATTCGGCTGATGAGAAAGATCGTGACTCAATCTTTACGACCCGGTTACTATCATAATTATGGAAAGGCTTAATTTCAACAGCTAAGTTCATGTGATCGACGTCTGAACCAGTTAGTTTCATGATCAACTGTTTTAATTAGGACCAATATCCAACAATAAAATTCGACATCGCTAATTGTCGGGAGTCGAACTTCACATGAACCAACCAACTATATTTATGTATATGCCATTACGCATTGGACTCACCGCTGTTTTATGATTCTCGAAAATTATTAGGACTGGCTAATTTAAATTAAAAGTTCGAGGTATGAATAGGTCAACTCAAATAGCAAAGTGCCAAAGGCTCTAAGCTAGGCCATGTAAATAAATATCTCGGTTTATTATCAGTAGCTAAAAGAAATTCCGTGCTGGCGGGCGGATTTTTTAAAAACACTTGAACTTAATATTGATATTTATGGTAAATAACATGCTTGTAGTAAATTCTATTTTAAACGACAAACTGCAGTATTCCACAATATTCCACGTCGGCATGTTTCACGCCCCCTTGCTCAGAAGCGCACCTCATGGGAAGCCGATCATGTAATATATGCGTGTGCGAAATAACGTTGCTGTAGCACTTGATCATAGTACTTGATCAACTGGTGGTGCCTCCTGTTTTACCAAAAAGATAAAACATGGATACTCTCGAACAGACTTGGCCTCGTAGTTCAGTTGGCAGAGCATTGGCAGGTCATAGTCATCTGAGTACATAACATCAAAACACACACAAAAAATATCATATCATAGAACACATTGGTATCGAAGGTACTAGACTTAGTTCCGAAATACCACACACTCGAACAGACTTGGCCTCGTAGCTCAGTTGGCAGATCATTGGACTAGTATCCCAAAGGTCGCGGGTTCGATTCCCACGGTGGTCAGGCTAGCTTTTCAGCCTGCCCGGTGTGGATATATATACTCAGAGTAACATCAAAAACAATATATTTGTACAAGTTTCAATGACTTTATTCTTTTCATCTTGCTTCACTTAGAGATATTAATAAAACTAAAAGAAATATTATGAAGCTTAATAGCATTTTATTATAATGACACGATTTCAATTTTTTTGGATACCTTATCGGGGAGCACCATGCCAAATGACTAATTACACTACAACATTTATTTCACACCAATTATCGGAATTGCAGACCAGGGAACTGCGGAATCGGCGGAAGTTAATAAATTCACCTTTTTCTTCTTGTATAAACATTTTTCCTCCAATAGTTTTAAAGCGTTAGTGAATATTTACACAATTTTGATTTTGTCACGATTCTTGACTTGCAATCAATCCCTTGACAATTAGAAGACAATGGCACGGCGGCCGGCCATGTTGGTGCCAAATTCGAAAGCAGTTAATGTAGCTAATGAGGTTCTTTTGTTGAAAGGGGACCAACATGGCCGTCGCCCACATCATTCATGCAAGTCAAGAATAGTAAGTTTTCTTTAAATTTAGAGTCTTCCAGATAAAATCGTTCCTCTCTTAATATTTGGTGTCATCTCCATTATTGTATTGTTATATAAACATGGATTGTATGTTGAAAATTTTGTTCTTCGATTTGAGTCAAGTAAGTATATATAGCTATTTCAATTAAGGTTGTCCACCAAGGCATGAGAAAGTCCGCCAGCATGTTGCCAGGAAATTTTTTTAATCTCACAGGAAATTTTTAAGAAAAAGCAAGATATCAAGAATGAAGCTCGAGAAATTTCAAAAATCAGCATTAGGGTAACAAACATCTCAATTAGAGCATAAATACAGCAATCATAACATAAAAACTTGTATCATGTGGCAGTGCTACCGCTATATTTTTCTTAATATTGAGGCAGTATATGACTTATTAAGGTGGTATATATACGATGCTGTTATTGGATTACAATCAAAATTCAAATTTATAAAAAAAATTGACAGGAAATTTTTGGTCTGGGAAGCCTGCTGCCAGGAAGAAAAATATTTTATCAATGCTTGTTGTCCACGAGCAAAGCGGAAAAGTCGAATACGAACGCCCGTCGAACGCGAAAGGCTGCTGGGAATCCCTAAAAAATTAATGAATTTTCATAGCGATTCCCAGCAGCTAGCTACACAGAAGCATAGCCTATATAGGTTGAGGTATAACTATTATAATGATAAGGCATGGTAGACTTTATGGGTAGCGGATTATGGATGCGGATTGCGGATTGTGAACCCATGCAAATCGTTTATTTCTTGGGAAAAAAGCCGCAATAATTGCCTGTAGCTACTTGTAGCTATGCTATGCCCCCTAGGAAATGGCTATATATGTCGTGGTTATAACGGAGTATATCTGCGTTAGAATGAAGCAGTCGAATATTTCGACAATAAAGAATAAACCAAGTTTGAATAAAATGAAACACTCAGATTCAAACATTTCGTAAGACACATCGCGTGTATAGCGTATAATCTACTTTTCTAAATAGCAAAACAACATTTGCAAAGGATATTATATCCATATAACGATAAGTTATACATTACTCAGTTGGTAAACAGACATGATAATTCAAAGTTCTTGTTCATATTATTAGACAGAAAATGGCCATTAAGTAAAAAGCTGATATCTGATGCAAATTGGCATAATATATCTTTTAATTTCAATTCAACGTTAAATTGTTAATCGCATTTGTTTCATTTGAACACGGTGCAATTACAACACTTAAGGGTATTGGCAATAAAACTAACTTTGTCTTTTTAGAAGACGTATTAAGATATTAATGATGTGGATTCTTGCACTTCACTTGGTGGAATTAATATTAGAATGTTAGGGTTTGTAATCCAAGTGAGAATATATACATTTTTGGATTACAAACCCTAACATTCTAATATTAATTCCACCAAGTGAAGTGCAAAAATCCAAATCATTGAAGTCCACCTTTATCACAACCCGCATACCCGATTACCTATATATATACATGAACTTACGGTTACAGCTCAACAACTGGCCTCTGTAGCTCAGTTGGTTAGAGCGCTGCACCGGAATCGCAGGGCCGTAGGTTCAATTCCTACCAGAGGACCTTGTGCTGCATTTTTCGCAGTCGTTCCTTGTTAGGTCTTAAAATGTATATATTCTCACTTGGATTACAAACCCTAACATTCTAATATTAAGATATTGCAGACCTACGTGTCATTCTTCCTCATTCAGAAGATATTTGTTCCTTTCGCCCTTTTGTTTTATCTAAAAAAAATCACGTGACAAGAAGGGTAGACGTTACAAAAACCATCAGTTGAAGTTTCATTAATAGTTTCTACACAGCTTATGGTTAAAACTGTGGCAATTGATACACCAGGCGGAAATCTTAGTTTAAAGATAAAAAGCAAAGCCCAGCAAATAACTTTAAAGCCAAACATAATAAAAGTACAAAATTAAAACGTTAGCTAATAAATTTTTTACTTTTATTATGTTTGGCTTTAAAGTTATTTGCTGGGCTCTGCTTTTTATCTTTAAACTAAGCTTATGGTTAAATTAGATATAGTCGAGAGCAAAAACTACAAGATTTATTATTATTTATAATTATTTGAAAACGGTAGCCCTTCAGCGGTAAAGAAAAACTGATTTTCAAGGGGCCGTTTATGAATACATATATACATTGTTTAGAAATACAAAACACTTACTAGCCTATCTATTATAGATTTGGCATTATAATGACACAAGTCAGGCATATTCTGAGGATAGATAAATGCGGAATCAAATATCTTTTGAATGAGAAAGAATGACACGTAGGTCTGTTTAAATTTTTGCAATATCTTAATATATGTCTTCTAAAAAGACAAACTTATAGTTTTATTGCCAATACCCTTAAGTGTTGTAATTGCACCGTGTTCAAATTAAACAAATGCGATTAACAATTTAACGTTGAATTGAAATTAAAAGATATATTATGCCAATTTGCACTGAGACTAGTCTTATTCAGACATCAGCTTTTTACTTAATGGCCATTTTCTGTCTAATAATATGAACAAGAACTTTGAATTATCATGTCTGTTTACCAACTGAGTAATGTAACTTATGGTTATATGGATATAATATCCTTTGCAAATGTTGTTTTGCTATTTAGAAAAGTAGATTATACGCTATACACGCGATGTGTCTTACGAAATGTTTGAATCTGAGTGTGTCATTTTATTCAAACTTGGCAAGACTTGGTTTATTCTTTATTGTCGAAATATTCGACTGCTTCATTCTAACGCAGATATACTCCGTTATAACCAAGACATATATAGCCATTTCCTAGGGGGCATAGCATAGCTACAAGTAGTTACAGGCAATTATTGTGGCTTTTTTCCGAATGTGAAAAGTCTCATTATTTTTGCACGCGATTGTGGTAACATAAATTAATATCAAAGATGAACATAAATAATCGCGCCTGCGATAAGAAATCTTAGCTCAATAACTCGGCCAATGGAATGGGCATGAAAATGCAGTGACGTCAAGATTAGTGTGCTACCTCCCTAAGGGGAGGCAGCAATTATTCAAAGGGAGATTTTGTTGGCCTCCTAAGCTGTCTTCAGAACGCTTCTTTAGTGGATTTACTTTTAGTTCGCAATAACTGTGACGACATTAATGTTGCTTGGTCCAAGTGGAAAGCTGCCGTTCCTTACTGCTGCCGATAGTTTTATTCCAAAAACATCGCTCAAGCGTTCCTTCACGCCTCCTTATATCACCAAGGATCTACTTCACGCCATCAACATGAAGGAGTCCCTATGGAGAAAAGCAAAGACTATGAACTCCCCGCAAAGACTCGGTAACATGTCAAATGTTGGATTAATGCCAAGAAGAGAGATTATAAAATAACATGTACATAACGCGTATTCTGATTGGTCGAAAGCCGTGTTTGGATCAGGCCATCCAAACACGGAAAACTATCGTGTTGTTGTTATTTTATAAAACAATTACTTTATGGTTTCCATGTTTGGATGGAATGATCCAAACACTTGGGAATGTTGCTCGAGTTAAGAAAAGCGGGCAAAATCACTCGCCTTCGGCTGGTGATTTCGCTCGCTTTTCTTAACCCTCGCAACATTCCCGCGTGTTTGGATCAGGCCATCCAAACACGGAAACCATAAAGTAATTGTATAATACTTATCTGGACTTTCTCAATCCTTATACAATAACTCTAAATCATTTTTGAGATTTGTTAAGTCTAAATCTTCCATACCTCATGTAATTAAGATAGGGGGTCTTAAACTATTCTCTTCTGAAGAAAAGGCTGATGCTTTTAATACTTATTTTGCGTCAGTTTTTACCTCAGACACAAGTTATTCTTTACGACTTTACCTTTAATCTCTCCCTCGCAGTCATCATCAAACTTTCTTGACTCGATAATTGTATCCGAATTTGAAGTACAATCTTTGTTATCCAGTTTGTCACCCTCTAAGACTACTAGGCCTGATGGCATACATCAGCATATATCTTTTAAAGCGCTATTCCGAAGTCATCGCTAGCTCCATCTTTAACAGTTCTCTTCGAGTTATCTCTTCAGCAGGGTGTATTTCCTTCTGAATGGAAATCTGCTAATGTGGTTGCAGTTAGGTATTGCAACCACATTAGCAGATTTCCATGCAGAAGGAAATACACCCTGCTGAGGAGATAACTCGAAGAGAACTGTTAAAGATGGAGCTAGCGATGACTAAAAGGTGACGCTCATGAAGTCACCAACTACAGACCTGTTTAATAATATTACTCTCCCAAGTCTCGAAAGTGCTCGAACGCTCGATTTTTAGACAGGTTTCTTCTTTCATTAAGGACTCTTTGTACGACATTCAACATGGCTTTCGCGCGCTGCAATAGGTCATGTGTTACTCAACTTTTGAAGGTGTTTCATGATCTCGGTCGTGCTCTTGATTCTGGCAATGAAGTTGATTTCGCAATGAAATTGCGAAAGCTTTTGACTCCGTATCTCACAGCAAACTCTTGTTCAAACTAAAATCTTTTGGAATTTCCGGTCAACTTCTTAACTGGTTGGCTGATTATCTCCATGATCGGAAACAGCTTGTCGTTATCGAAGGAGTTTCTTCATCTTTCCTTAACGTTAAGTCTGATGTGCCGCAACGTAGTGTCATAGGTCCACTACTTTTCATTTTGTATATGAATGATCTTCCAGAGGTAACTAAGAATACTACTGTTGCACTTTTTGCTGATGACAGTAAATGTTACCGTGCAATTCAGTCACCAGCCGATCGAGATCTCCTACGAACTGACTCGATTTCTTGGCAATTGAACTTTAATGTATCTGAGACGCCCTTGCTCAGCGTATCTCGGAAACGCAACTCTCCAACTCACTCTTATCACCTTAACAATCAATCTGTTAAGACTGTGGCCAATCAAGTCGACCTGGGTGTGGTTGTGAACAAAGTGTCCCCTCACATTGCCAGCTGTAGTGCTAAAGCCAACCATTTGCTTGGTTTTCTTCGCAGAAATTGTTCTCAAATGACTGATACTCGCTGCCGTCGGCTTCTCTATCTCTCACTCGTCCGATCTCACCTGTCTTACGCCACTGAGATCTGGGCACCTCAAGCCTCGTCACGTGATCTTGCAATCCTGGAGGGTGTTCAGAGACGAGCTACTAAATTTATACTTCAAAATTATGAGTTGTCTTATCTTGAGCGTCTTAGGAAACTTAATTTATTGCCTATATCTTACTGGCTTGAAATAAAGGATCTCATCTTTTTTTCCAAATGCAAACAAGGTCTCTACGACCTAGACATCTCTGTTGTCACCTTTTCGCTCATTTCACCCGTTCAAGCAAGGACAACTTGCTTCAAGTCAATCCGTGCAAAACCTCTCTTTTGAGAAACTCTTTTTTTTAACCGAATTGTCTTTCTATGAAACCATCTCTCTCCGATCATTCGTAACAGTTCGTCTGTTTCATCCTTTAAGCTCCAGCTCCATATTCACTACTGTTTTCAATTAGACTCTTCTTTCGATGTTAACAGAATGCGCACTTGGAAAACCTATATATGGCTCTAAATGCCGTTCTTTCAACTTAAGCTGTTGCTCATAATCTAGTAACCTATTAATTTTTATATAATTATGTAAATAGTGTTCTAGTCCTTGTCTTTAATGTCTACTTATTGTTTTGTATTAGGTTGGTCTTTACATGGGACTCATGTCTTGTTGACCATACCTTAATCAATCATTGTTATACTTTTCTATGCCATAAAGTTTAAATAAATATTCCGCATATGTGACGAAGTAAATTTTTGCCAGAATACCATTTACTTGGAATCATGTGATGCTATGAAATAACGTTATACTTCATTATTTTCATTTTGTGGCGAAGTATTCGGTTACTTTCCATAAATTAGTACCCGACTTTATCCTGAAAAATGCATTAAAAATACACAAAGGAATCATGAATTTCGAATGACCATTGGTATTTCGAGTCGGCTCTGATAGACCCTCGTGATAGACGCGGTATATAAGCAGCCGTAAACGAGGGCAGTGAGATTTGTCAGATTTATGTGACTATACTGTTCATTGAATATTAAGACCACTATTCACCCCCTCCCCATATACGCACACATTTTTCAAGTTCCTTTCCACATTAATACTTCCACTTTTCACTTCTTCTTCAAGTATTTTTAAAACAATACTTGTTTTAAAAATCACTTCCAAACCTGAAATCCCTGGCTCTAAACCTGAATTCCCCGGCTTTATACCTGATCTTTGTCTGACAATGATATAGTGTTATAGTATATTAAAGAGCTTTTGGTTTAGCCCGTTTTCTATTAGGCGAATTTGTTCGCGCGAAGCGAAGCGGAAAACAAATTTCGGCACTGATTCAAGCTAGCGAAAAAATTCGTCGCGGAAATTTTTTTCGCTAATCAAACACATTGCCAAAATTTGTTGTTCGCTTCGCATTTCCAATGGAGAATGGGCTTTAGCTATACTAGGAGACTACTGATATATAGAGACAATTAAAAGTCAATTGCATGACCACATATGTTATAGCTACTTATTCAATTTCAGTCTTTTAACTTTATAATTACTAAATTGCTACATAAATAAATTATATTTTGCACATGCATTCTGTTTGTCATAAAACTACGCCTAAATATTTTTTCAGGATTTCAAGAAAATGGATTTGTTCATGACAAGGGCAATAATTATGTACCGGGTACGCATCTTTCAAATTATTTTCAACACTGAGGTTTGCAGAGTAATATTACCCACAGCCCACAGGGTAATTCCCGGCTACGTCTCAAGTGGTAATCAAACGTCGAGTTCATTTTATGTGCCCCCTTTTCTAACCATCAACATGCCTGTCCGTGCATAGGTGAACTATATTTTGTGGTATTACCTCGTTATCTTTAATCGAAGACTCGCATTTTTTATCTGGATTAAACTGTAACTAACATACTAAGTAACAGTTGACAATTGATACTTGACTAGCTCTCTTTGTACTACATTACACGTCTTTAGATAATTTATAGAAACACAAATCATTATATCATTATAATAGTCATTATCCCCGTCCCCCTCCCGATCCTGATTATTTCACCACGCCCCCTGATTTGTTCGTATACGTGGGATGTAGGACAACCAATAAACCTGGAGTCTAATAAAATGGAATCCTCCATGGAGAAATAAACTGAACGATGACAGTTCATATCTACTTTCAACTGAGATAGTTGTTTGTGTATATATTGTTTTTGTGTATAAATCAAAGCTTTCATTTCAAGTAATACGAATACAATTTCTATTTAAGGAGTTAAAGACAAGTTAATCCTGAAAGTTTTACAAAGATTAAAGGAACCAATTATTGACACAGGTACACTATATTCCAACGATGTGTGAAGTACCCGTCACTGAAAGCGAGTCGACTTGCTGCGTTTGCAGGAAATTGCATCTCCTTGGCGCGAAAAATTACATGACAATATTAACGCACAAAGATCGGAAAAACCATTGATCATAATGCATGGTGAATTCTTAAACCTGTTTCGCTAATACCAGGATTCGAGTCGGTAAAATTTGACGCGCTGCAAGAGGGACAAGTACTCGACAATCCCCCCAACTCGACAATCCCCCCAACTCGACAATCTCCCCACCGCTAAAATGTAAAATCTGCACTTTGTCTTTAATTTGAGATCTCAACCGCGCAGCTAAATAATACGAGTCGACTTGTAGCAAGTCTATGTTCCTCCATATGTAGTGAACAAAAAGACCTCAGATTTACAAGGATTTTTAAAAATCTTCTTTTTGTCAGATTCTGCGGGGTAAACATTCTTAATTTTCACGAATGTTGCTGTACTCAATTGCCCCTCCACTTTGGAAATGCTTCCGCGGCCTCTGACTGTACATGTCCAGGTGGTCACTCTTTCGCACATGGAATATAACGAATAGAGAGGTTAAGATACCCCGGTTCTGGTTTACGGGTATTTTCCTGATGTCAGCATATTTACCCGTAGTTTCTACCCGTTTCCCGGCAGTAAACCTTTGTCTACACGTAAAAGACAAACGGGTATTGGTGTTTTTCTGTCTACTATTTGTAGAACATTTAAGTAGTGAATATTTCAACATTTTACCCAAAAAAAATCAATGCACATTTGCCCGTCAAATTTTTCCCAAATCTATGGTGAACCTCAGCAACAAAACTACTATTCTCCGATCAGCTTTCGTACTCTGGAATATCTTGGATTTCTCAGGTTGCAAGTCGTACCCCGATTTACGGGTACGGGTATATTTTGTATATTGCTTATTTGTGCTTTGCAAAGACCGCTAGATGTTACACAAACAATTAAGTATGCATCACAAAGACTAATTTATTGTTAGAATTAATAAGTAGGTATGTACAAGATTGACAGGTAATTATGATATATGACATGCATAGGATACAACAGTATATCACCTGTACCCGTAAACCGGAACCGGGGCATCTTAACCTCTCTATCACACCCTTCCAGTGAAAGTGTTTAATCTTGACCACACAGTCTCGTTTTCGTGATTTAGAACCTTTCATCTTGTTTCATGCAAGTGACGCATTTACGAAAGCATATACAGTTGCAATAGATCATCTAAACGACATTTAATATGATTAGGTCATCAGTAACAAGATAAAGGACTTTAAAGCCGAGATCTCAATTACCAGATTCTCAGTCTATTATATTAACCGTGCTGGAAGGGTGTATTCTGGATGGTTTTGCCACTAAATCAGCACATGTAATGAATCTTAATTGCTTTCTGGGTGCATGCTGACTTCATGACTTATACCAGGTCTATTTAAATTTTATTTTTGTTAGTATGCGAGCTATTATTTATTTCATGCTTTTCCAAGGAAGAATGTAGCTTCTTGTAGATATCGTTGAATTTTTCAATATACAATTTTGATTTATTGATTTTCCAAACAATTACTTTCTAGATATCAATCATATTTTCAAGGGAGATTTGTCAAACAACCTTACTTGGGAATTTGATTTTGGTGAGATTTCCAAACGACGATTTGGACGAAGTTATATTGAACAAACGAGTTATGACCCAAATGCTCGTAGCGGAGATTTCTATAACCCTGTTGGGATTGACAGGGGTGGCCTTGTGTTGTTTGAAGATCATGGGGCTGGTATATTTGAGCGGCTTTTGTGGTTCCATCGAACTAATTATGAAACAGATATGGATTATGTTACATTCGAGGTAGGACATTTCTTATCATCGAGTTTTTCCTTTTCGAGAGTCATACAATCTCACAACCAGAGAGTGCCCGTCCATTGCTTGTCATCGGTTGTCTCTTTCCAAACAAATTTCCTCGAAACGCGTCCTGCATGGTCATAGGCGTACGAGAGGAGGAGCAGGCTGGCGGATAAAGCCCGAAGAAGTTTTTGGTCGCACAGTTATAAAAGTCGGGCAGAATGTACTTAAAAATCTGGCAGATTGCACTTAAAAATTGATATGTATTAAAATCGACGAAAAAGGAAGAAACATGCTCTGTTTCAAAATATTTTTGCGACTTTTAATATAACACAAAGAAATGTTATATTGATCGGCCAATTTGATCAAAATCGGCCAAATTTTTGCCCGCCTCCCCCTATAATTTTTCCTCTCCCGTATACGCCTATGATCCTGGTACATGATCGACTGGCAATGATTGCAATAACATTAGATCAGTTGAAATTTGAAACACGTTACCTTTTCATGTCAAATCCTCTAATTCGCACTATATGTATGCAGGGCCGGGCTCCGCATAAAGTGCGTCTATACATTGCGATGTGTTGGACCATTATCTGGCCACTTTTATGTACTATTTAAAACATGAGCAGCAGTGTTTTATCAGACCTAGAGATACTCGGCTTCGCCTCGTATCTTTATATCTGATAAAACACTGCTGCTCGTGTTTTAAAAATAGTACTTCAAAAACGATCGATCCAGTAAGTTTATTGGCGAAGTAATTTTCAAAAAATGTGTAAGTCGAGAAAATCAAAGTTAAACTTTATGTATAAAATCTAGGGAAATCTTTATCACATATCTATGTTATTTACAGGCTATGCCCACCCTTAACCTGCGAACGGGCATGCTCGAGGAACGAGATTGAATGACACCTTTTTTGTATCATTTTAAATTTAAGCAAAAATGACAAAATATACAAGCCGATGGAAAATTGCCGGTTGAAATCACATTTTTCCACCTATGTGAATTATTAAAGCAGTGCAGAACAAAAAAAGATCTGATCCATTAATTTCTAATGTGTACCAGATGCTGGATGTTTTTAAAATTAAAATTCATGAATTTTTATATTCATGAATATAAAAATAATAATTTTTTTATTTCTAAATTCATGAATTTTATTTTTCACTTTCAATACTTCAACGGTGTAAAAATGCGATTTCCACTGGCAATATTTATTCTAATCGATTACCTTATATTGGATTACCTTTTTTATACCTGTATAATTAATTTTAAATGTAATTTTGGCGAAATAAAGTCCACATAATTTGTTATCCATATACATGGCATATATTGCCATTCTCTATTGTTGCAATTTGTTTTTTTTTAGATTGATGGAAAGGAATTGTGTACATTACCAATAGTGTCGGGAAATAGAACCCATCCATTCCTACTACCATTCATTCGACCAAACGAAGTGGACAATATGGCCGGCTTCTACATAACCTTTCCCGTTTCTTATGCAAAATCTCTGCGTATTATCATGAGGTGGAGAGAAAGCTCAAACTTGAATGAGGAAAGTGAATGGAATCAATCAGAGAAATGCCATCGCGGAGGTTTAAGTTGTAATATAGTAGCATATTATGCAGTAATAGCAAACAAACTGGTTCATGGTGCATATCTTGAGACTAACTTTAAGAACTATATTTCAAAAAAGTCTACTCATCCAAAAAGTAAATATTTTGAAAGCGTGACAAAAGCTGTTGCAGAAATGGCAAAGTCCCCGGAGAGGTATGGCCCTGGCGTGAGATCAGAGTGTGAACTTACATGTCAAAAAGTTCAACCAGGCAATGAAATCGTGATATACACTGCTCAAAATGCCAAAGTTATTCAATCCTTGCGTTTCCGTCTGTACGATGTACAAAAAGTAAAATTGGCTGTTTCGAAAAATTGGAGGAGAGTGCTAATTACAATGAGATGGGATGGAAAAGATCCACAGGTAAACGAAATTCCACTAGCTGGACTTTTTATTACTGGACTTGATTTCATTCGCGAAGTTAAAGGTTTAACCACTGGATTCAGGGATATGACGTGTGATGTGCAGGGTGAACGTGCGTCAGACGTAACACCAAATGAATGGACGGCTTATTTATTTTATGAAATGCCTTTCTGGGAGGCCGCAAAAATTACTGTTAGGATTCCAAATGGTTGTGAATCTGCAATAATTTGTTCTCAAATTTCTACAAAGGAATTAAATATTGAAAAGTATCACTCTCGTCTAACCGGTTATTTTAACGCGCAGTTACGTCAACAAGGATTTGATTATCTTCACCATAAAACCATTCTACATCTGGAAAAGCAGTGGGGGCATGTAGTTGGCATTAACTTTTTCCTGCGAAATGATAAGATCGCAAGTACACACGAACTTGACATGATTATTGAGACAGATGAGGCCAATGTGCCAGTGTTTTCAGGAACTGGACTGGAAGATTTCTTTTACTTCATACACGACTTCAAATCTAACAAAAACAGGACTGCACCATTTAATGGTGCTCTTTTTTACTACAGAAAAGGCCGCTTCCGAATCTTACGATGTTACCGTCATAACATCTTGGATCCAATCTTGTTCACTACTGGTATTCGTATTTATCTTGAATCAAAGTTTAATCGCGGGGAAAATCCCACTGTTCGAGATTTTTTAAAAACTACAGCGTCGTTCAATCAAACCATTTTACCGGATTCACTTTTTACTGTAGTGTTATACTATGGAGGAAAGGGATCAGGCGGAACAATAACAGATAAAGTGGAATACCATAAAATAAATGAAAGTTTATCAGCTCGGATTCAGTTTAGTCCACCAAATGTAGATAGTTTTCATATCCGCAGTAATTTTGAGAATCAGCCAGGGATCTTTTTTGACAGAATTGTCGTTTCCATGGAACCTGGACAGCGAGTGGCATACACATTCAAGGTTTATAGCGATAACGTTGGTGTTATTCTCCGCAGAGAATATCGCACAGTTGTACCGAACCAGAAAGCTGAAGTAACAGTTGATGGAGAAGACGCAGGGCTATGGTGTTGCCCTCAGAGAGCCATGTCTGAAGATTTTTCATTGCGTCTTAATGATTACCTTCTCCCTCCAGAGAAAACTGCGGGAAAAGAGTCGATAGAAGTGACGCTAATAGCTTTAACGCGATGGGAAACAGTCTCTATACAAGCACTTTCTGTCATACTATCAAACTGATAAGTCGCGCATGCTCTTCATCACTACAAAATTGGTTATATCTTGGAATCTTGTTCGCTATACGTGTATATATGAGTTGTTTAACTGTAGTATTTTAACAGCAAGATCTGACTCTTAGGGTTTTCCTGTTCAACGAAAAAAATAGTGCTTGAACACGAAAATTCAAGACATTGTTATCTCAAACTCACTAATATATTATACTAATATATTATTCATGATAAATTAGCCAACCATATTGCTTTATTTTGCTCACATGATAATACTGGATGCTGATCCAGTCCTAGGATTGGATCAAAATTAATTCAGTCCTTTGACTGGATCAAAAATAATTAAGTAGTGATTTATTCGTATGAGATGTCATTTCAAATCCTCCATTTCGGACTGGACCAGATTTCAAGTCCTCGCATTTTGATCCAGTCCTCGGCTTCGCCCCTGGCATGATCAAATTTCGCGGACTTGAAATCCAGTCCTCACAGTCGGATTTGAAATATTAGATAACTGCTATAGTATTTTATCTAGAATTAAGATAGTTACTATGCTCTGTAGCTTTTGAATTGTGTCCAGCGACAATTTAAAACAAGGAAAAGATTTAATATCTTTGATTGTATGTCATGGCATAGTCACTCTACATGGCTTTCGTACGTTTTGGATTATACTGACTTTTTTTCTATGAAGATTTCAAAGATTGCCATGAATTGATTACTTCTGTTTTGAGAATTTTGAGTCCGCCAGATGAATAACTTGATGTGTTATAGCAAATAACTGAGTTAGTGAGTGATATATATCTGGAGCTAGAACTTTACAGTGTGAGAAAAGTTAAAGACAAGATGAAGGAAATTGACGTGCAATATCATCTATGAAGGTCGTAAACAGTTTTAATACCATTTCCCCCAGCTAATTCCAGCTATCAGTTCACAAAACCATAGTATTACTCTCTTTAAATCGAGGTCAAAATACAAAATTTCCGCCCACTCCTTACAGCTTTGTGTTAACCGCACAGACAAAAACAGTAAACAAGAGACTGGAACTGAGGTCCAATTGATTCATCTCAAACTCGTACCCTGAGCCATCGTTGGCTCTGGGTACGAGATTGGATTCATATTTGCTTTACTTTTTGGAGAGGAGTTCTCACTCCAGATATATATGGAGCTCACTGGATATAATAGGTGACAGTTCTATATCCTGCACGATCGTACCTACTCTCAACCTCGTACCCAGGGTCTTTCCTCTTGGGGAGCAAAGACCCTGGTAGACGCTGGTCACGTGATCTGCTAAAATCTAGCAGATTTCTAATTAACTATCTTGGTTTTCTTTACAATCATACAAAATGCAAATTATAAATTAAACTATCAAAATAATCCAAATATCAAATGTTTATTGACCTGATCTTGGATTGCTAATTAAAAATCTGCTAGATTTTGTCAGATCACGTGACCAGCGTCTACCAGGGTCTTTGCTCCCCAAGAGGAAAGTCCCTGGGTACGAGGTTGACCTACTCTAATAGAAAAACAAATTTGGAACAAAAAAATAGAAACACATAACAATGCTATTCTCCAAAGAGAGTTAATACGGTAGAGAAAATATAACAATAACTTAACAGGATAAATGTGTGATCATTCGTGTGATAGATACAAGTAACATACTGTTGAATGTTCTCTCTCCATGTATATATTAAGTAAACAAAACAAACGCTTTTTGATCGAGGATGTTCATGCATTCGGCCGTCTTAAGGACAGTTTCTTCCACGAGGCACAAGATTGGGTTTTTGATTGTCGCAGCATGTCTTCTTGCTAGGATTGTAGTATTTCATGCCACGACACTTGGAGCCAGACTTATTCTTATAAATTTGACCACAGCAGCAAATGTGATTGACAGTATCATAATTGTTTCCACCGCAAAATTCTTCTAAATTAATGCAGATGGAAGGTGATGAGATGTGACCACTGGTATAAAAACCACCCGTGTCATTTTATACTCAATGGATATAACAGGATAAACAATAATAATAATAACAATAATCATCAGTTTATCCTGATAATGACTGAAATATAGTCGAAACGTGGATATAACAGCCATGCAGGATTTCTTAATTGAGAAACACGGGCGATTCCCAACAAGGATGATTATCTGAACCATCCAATAGCACTCTCCTCCGCAGAGCCTTACGAATGTTTAGTAAAATTACGTAATATTGTCAATATTACTTGGGAAACAAATTACGTAATTGTTAGTCAAAACGCGCTAGGTATGATGGGAAGACGGAAGCTACGTCAACCATCGGTCTCGCCCCTTCCCCCCCCCCCGTCGCACACCACTAAATGTCCTCTACTATCCCCACAATCCTATATAATTGACTCTGCGGAGCAGAGTGATCCAATAGTACCTTAATTTGAACCCTAATCTAACCCCGACCCTAACCCTAATCTAACCTTAATCTGCATGACCCTAATCTATTAACCCTAACCTTGGTCTAAACGTGTCGACATTTTTTTAATTTAGTCCCACCCCTTCGCGCGGTTGCAGCCTGCAGGGAGTGCGAAATATATCGAGACTTGAAGTGAAAAAAAGGTTTTTTAAAGGAGAAAAACCCATTCCCGTGGGTTTTTTACGAAAAGCAATAGTTCTGAACAGAATATATACAGAAATCGTCGTTTGAAAATACATTTTCAACGTTGCCTTTATAATATGCAAGCCAAAACAAAACACGAAAAATCAAGACAAACTCAAACTCAATAGGTATGTTTTAAAAAATATATTTTAGCCGTTTTATATAAATATAAATGGAGTTCAATAATCTTTTTAAACTTGCACAACTACTTTTTTTTCTTCTATACATTGCTTGAGTTTGAGGCAACGCTTTTGGAACCATATGTTTTCGACGATTATTTAGGCGATTTATACTTTATCGACAACTAAATATTTTTGTTTCAAAAACATGAAAACACTTCGTTTAGATTGAAGAAAAACGAAACCCGGCGAAGAATGAACTATCATTTCGTAATTTCATAAAATATTAGCAAAACAGATACGTTCAGAGCATGCAAAAATGTTTTATGAGTAAATTATATTTTATACGCGAAACTACTTTGACTTTGTTTTTACAAGGCTGCATGATTTTCACCGTTTTTGTAACGGCACATTTGCTTTGAGCCTTTAAAGTACGGCGGCCCAGACGCGACAGCAAAAAACAGTTTTTGTATTTTTTTATTTTTTATTTTTTTATTTTTTTATTTTTACATTTTTTTATTTTTACATTTTTTTATTTTTTTATTTTTGTATTTTTTAATTTTCTAATTTTCTAATTTTTAATTGTTATTGTTATATATATATCTTATATATATATATATATATATCTTATATATATATATATATATATATATATATATATATATATATATATATATATATATATATATATATATATATATATATATATATATATATATATATATATATATGTATGTATGTATATATATATATATATATATATATATATATATATATATATATATATATATATATATATATATATATATATATATATATATATATATATATATATATATATATATATATATATATATATATATATATATATAAAAGAAACATATAAATTATAGCATCTGACCAATGAGAATTTCGCGTCACGATTTGAGACGCAGATATTAAAATATTCAAATTCATTAGTCATCGATGCAGGCTCTCAATTCAGCTTGAGAGCCTGTTCGCAGGCTATGTAAAGCTATGACAGCTGTCAACTCGTTTACAAATTGAATATATTTTAAATTCGTTTTATTTTCATGCAAGCAATATGCATTTGAGGTGAAAAGTACAAAATTCAAATCTTTTCAATTTAAAAAGAGTTATAACATTAAGTAGCGAGAACTGAATCGGTCATATATATATTAGAGTAAACGTTAACTGGCGCGCATTACGGATTGTTAAGAATCGAAAGCTTGGGGAATCATATATCTATGGAGGGGGATTGTGGATATCTGTGTGCTGTATTAATGGTGCCTTAATCTCGTACTTTATTTCGTACCCTTTATTTCGTGTGCGCGAAGATGCAATATCGTACCTGGAGAATGGAGATGGGCCCATTGGATGGCCCTCACTTTATCTGTGAACGGGTATACGATCTCATCAAGCACTGGTTCAAGGTGGAAGGACAACATGTTAAAGGAGTTTTGAAAGATATAATTAGTAAATTATAAGAAGGTCAAACCTGCAGTAATAAAATCGACTTTGCACAGTATAAAATAGACTGGCTGATTGGCTATCTTCTAATTTGGCGTATGTCCCACATACTGAAATTCCATTTTCTTCCAGTCTCCTGTAAACAGTTTAACAGGAAACACACAGCAAACTTGTGATATCAGTTGCCTTAAATCCATTGTCAAGAAGCTAGGTATGCGAGCCGATCGAGCTGCTCAAAAGATATGTCAAATCTTCGTCTTCGTCTTGATGGGATCGTACCCGTTCGCAGGTAAAGTGAGGGCCATCCAGTGACCTGATCCACCATGCACCTAACCTGCGAATCGGCATGTTGGGTCAGGGTATGCTGTTGCACTGATCTCCGGGTACGATATTGCATCTCCGGTACGACATGTTGCATTTCCGCATACGAGATATTAGGGAGCTTTAGATTTGAGCACGAGATTCGTCAAGCGAAACGCGCGCTGTATGCTTACGTCATCCCGTACTGACGCGAAAAGTCGTAGCCGTCGCCCATCTGACTGAGCACGAAATTGTGGAGAAATCTCGTAGTCCTCAATACGACTTTTCAAAAACAAAGAAACTTTTTTTTGTTTTCCAAAAATAATTTATAGCATTTATATACTGTTTATCCGGCGCAAATAATATATTAGTACTAAAAATCTGGCCTGTTTTTAATGTTATGACTTATTTACACGTTTTGTAGGGGATTTATTTAGTCTGCAGGAGATTTAGTTTGCGAAACTTTTTCTCTCGTTGTTGATTTACTGCTATAAAAGCAACATAAACGACTACGGTGATTTCCTCGCACGCGATCAAATCTCGTACTCGTAGTCAAATCTAAAGCTCCCAGCCTAGTTCTCATTCATCGCAAACTGTCACTGACGATCGGCGACGCTTACGAGATAAGGCACAATACTGCACATAGTATCTTACAATTTTGTCCACAATCCCCCTCCATAGATATCCAAAGGTTTGCAAAGTGAATCATAGTGTGAGGTGGTAATTCAGAGTAAAAATAAAAAACATTCTGAAAAAGCCATAGAAAAAACAGAATTTTCTAACTAATGTCAAAATATATTACAGTTAGATTAAACTTCACGCTACATGTTCAAAACTTTTAATAGTTTTAAAAATAATTGTATTAATTTAATGGTATAGTATTGCCTTAATATGTAAGTGCCAGTGGTAAGCCACCGTTATGTAACTCAGTTGCACACCACCTATTGAAGGTTTACAATCGCAAAGAAACTTTCTCACATGCAAGCTTTTTTCGATTTCCCTTGGATGCTGAAAGGTAAGAAATTACTTTTTTAAATAGGATACTTTTGGTTTCATAAATTAATTGGACATTATAGACTACAAATGTTTTTCTATTTCAGCGAGACATCTTTGTAGGATATATATATATATTTCTTTTTGGGTGAGTTTAGGAGTCTGAATTAATATGACCATGGATAATAAAATAAATGGATAGGACTCTAGCTGACGTAAGCAAAAACAACCTTAAAAAAAACTTAAAAAACTTAAAAACAACCTAGTTGCAATCTGTGACGTCACGCGTATTGCAAAGTTCTCGGCATTTTTGTTGTTTCGCTATACTTTCCGCTTTAAAAGAGTAATATTGAAGCATATACTGGTCTAATTGTTTTAAAAACATGCCTAAGCCACGACAAAGTATTCAAGGTAAATGTTTTTCGTCTTTGTTTTGTATTTTTTTACATTTGTAGTTACGAAATTGGCGTCACAAATTTTAACGAAATTTGCGATGTATTTTTCACTGTTTAGTGCTTGAAATATTTGCTAAAATTGACTGGGAATACTTAGAGATTTCATCGTAGAATGGCGTAGTTATATTCATTTGCTCTTTGACTAAAATGTTTAGCTGTATTATTGCTAAACATGCCGTTTTTGAGAATTTGGTTTGCAACTAGGTTTCAACATCCAATCACGCCATCAGCCCATTGAAAATATTAGGTACGTCAGCTAGTTTCCTATCCATTTATTTTATTATCCATGATATGACGTAAGCATAGGCGTACGGGACGGGGGGGCTGGGGGGGCAGCTGCCCCCCCCCCCAAAAGATTACAAAGTCGAAAAGTCGGGCAAATGTTCAACAAAAGTCGGGCAAAAGTCGGGGAAAAAGTAGTCAAAGCAATAAAATCTCTAGTAATAATAACCCCAGTTTGTTGGGCAATATTCGCTTCACAGTCGGGCAATATTGGGTTATTATAAAAATAAATGGGATAAATTCTGCCAATTTTGCGGGAAATTATGTAAATTTTGTGATGTTTGGGAAAATTTGTTTGATGTTCCGAAAAATTTTGTATGTCCGAAAAATTTTTGGACCCCTAAAATGGTACACTGACCCAAATTTTTTTGGCGACGGGGGGGGAGGGTTGGTCGCCAAAATTTATTGTTCCGGAAAAAAAATTTTTCGGGCACTGGTCGGGCACAATTCGAAAAAGTCGGGCAAATTTCTTTCTGCCCCCCCTAATTTTTTCCTTCCCGTACGCCTATGGACGTAAGAAAACTTGTAATATTAAAATGGCAGGTGTAAAAAAGGGATGGAGAACCTTTCTTAGTTTATAAAATTATCTTACTAGACTGAGAAATTAAAGCATGGACTTTAATTGTTTATAGGTTTTATTAAGCCTGGCGCACACGATGCGATTTTAGTCGGCCGATAAAAATCGTTTGACTAAAACTAACAAAATCGTTGTGTGTGCGGTGTCATTTTTAACCGATTTTTGTTGCTCGATGTTAATCGGACAACATCAAAACGTTTTGATATTATGCGATTTTTATCGGTGGAATTTTAAGTATAACCAATCAGATTTCATGCTGTGATCACGTGCTTGTATTTATTTGGCAACATGGCGGCTACAGTTCAGGGAGCGTATTTTTTTCGTAATCGTGTGCGGAGTATACCGATGTATATCGGTATGTCAAACGATTTTTATCGGCCGACTAAAATCGCATCGTGAGCGCCAGGCTATAGAGAGGAGGCTAAATTTATAGAGAATTTTACTAAATAATTATCCAAGTTGTATTTGCCGGCTTAATCTCTGTGCAAAAATACAATTAATAATACAATTACATTTTTTAGATCAAAGAGATGGGTAGTCAACTCCCGCAGACAAGACCTCGAAAAGAAGGATCGAAAATATTTATATAACAATTACCGGATTTGTTCAAATCAATTTGAAGACTCGATGTTTCGTGGCAACTTAAAAAATCGTTTGAAAGAAAATGCAGTGCCTATTATTTTTGCAGTGCCGAATCCGCCCAAGTCAATAGGGTCAAAACGCCACCTTCTAGTCGACCGATACAGCATCATCAACACATGGTAACTAGTTTAACCCTTTACGTGGCAATGCACCCATGTGGGCCCCACTTTATTACTATTTTTACTCTGTTTAACACCAGACGATTTCACTTGTCAGGGGGAGAGTCCTGCCACTTAATGGGTTAATATACAAAACTACTGTAGAACAATTTTTTTCCAAACATTTGTTTTACTAAAATGCAATTGTAACTTATGGTGTATTAAGATTGTTATACTTTCATTTAGGTAAGAGACGGAAAACAGACACTGCCAAGAAATTATACTTGAAAGATCAACTACTGATGAACTTGGTAGGTACATAGTCATAGAACAAACGAACATACAACAAACCTTGATATTTTTACATGTGAATGAACCACTGTTAGAAATAGGATTTTGTTGGCATCACCCAACTCCCTTTTGTTCTCAAAATCTTTATTACAATCATTTAGGTGAAAGCACATCTTTGTTGGTAACTGAAGACTCCTATGAAGCTATGGAGACCAATGAAGTGTTGCAAAATGATGAAGAACCTCATAATCAGCCAGATATATATTCGGCAAACAGAGCAATTTATTGTTAAATACATGTATCAAGTTACACAAGCGAGGTATTAATTAAAAACATTTTATCTTTTTTACAGGCAGCTCTGAGTCAGAAATCCAACAAAGTCAAGCTTGTCAGACAAGTTCATATCTTACTTATGGTACTCCCAGAAAAACGAAAATGCAGAAAACACTTGCGATTCAGCGTAAACAAAGAAGAGAAGTGCAATGAGAAAAAAGCTCTATCAACCCTAAGAAAATTTCTGTCTAAGCAAATAGTGGACAAAAAAAGAGGGAAAGGGAGACGATATAGCCCAGCTCTCAAAGTTTTTCTATCTTCCATCAAAACGGAGTCTACGCAGGTGGGTTTCTCGGTTACCAGGAACACCTGGAATTGCAGAAGCTGCAATGAATGTCATTGAAACTAAAGTGAAAGTATATAATCAAACACACAAAGGCAACCTATTACATGAATGCTTTTAACCAATATGAGTCTAATCCGAAAGAAATGTGGAAAAAAATAAGTGATCTAACAAACAAGAAAACCAAAAGTACAAATATTTCTGAGATAAAAGAGGATGGAGTAATGTTAACTGATCCAACAGAAGTTGCGAACTCCTTCAATAAATTTTTTAGCGAAATTGGCCCTGATCTATCTGATAAATTACCAGAACCGGATTATCTACCAGAATCGTATGTAAATCCCATAAATTCCGAGTTCTATTTTCAAACAATAACCGAAACAGAAGTTTTTAAATTATTGACTACACTTAAAACATCTAAGGCCACGGGACATGATAGAATTTCGGCTAAACTGTTGAAGGACTCTGCGGATGTAATTACAAAGACGTTGACTCAAATATTTAACAAATCAGTACTTTTAGGTAAATTTCCGGATGATATGAAAGTGGCAATTATTTCTTCTATTTATAAAACAGGAAGTAAAACGGAAACCACGAACTATAGACCAGTGTCCGTGCTCTCCGTTGTCGCGAAAATTTTTGAAATTTTTGAAATTTATCTCGCAGCAGCTTAATTTCTAATTATTTGGAAACTAATGGAATAATAGTGAACCAGCAATTTGGTTTCAGAAAGAAGCACTCCACACAAACAGCGCTCCTAAATGTTACAAACAAATGGTATTTAAATATGGATAAAGGCTATTTGAATGGGGTTATATTCCTAGACTTAAAGAAAGCATTTGACTGCGTAAATCATAGCATTTTGTTAAAAAAATTACAACTCTATGGTATAAATGGAGTGGCATATAGCTGGTTTAAATCGTATTTAACAAATCGAACCCAAATGTGCAAGATCGGACAAACTAGGTCGCAACAACATACCATACGTTGTGGAGTACCCCAAGGATCTAATTTGGGACCACTACTGTTTCTCCTATATATAAACGATCTACCAAACTGTTTATCGTATACATCTGCGAATATGTTCGCAGATGATAGTACTAATATAACAACAAAAGGTTCCAACGTAGAGGACATTCAAACGCGTTTAAATGATGATCTAGAACAGATTCATCAATGGTTATTGGCAAATAAATTGACTTTAAATAAAGATAAAACAGAATACATGATAATTGGTTCGCGACAAAGACTATCAAAGATTGAAACTGACCCTGTAAATGAATTAGGTGAAACAAAAATTAAGCGTGTTAAGTATTCGAAAACGTTAGGCATTATTATAGATGATCAACTT